CTCAGGGAGAAAACGGAGTCTGAGCTGAGATTTGAGGAGGACGAGCGCTGGGTGATGATGGAGGAGTGGGAGGAGGCGACGCTGTCAGAGAGAGGAAAGGCTGTTCTGGTGGCAGAGGAGAAGAGGAGCTGTTGCTTGGCAGATATTTCTGAAGAGAGGGAACAATCCACGGCTCCAGAGGATGGCTCTGCCCCCAGCCCGGGGTCCTGCACGTCCCCTGGGGGTGGTGGCAGCGCGTGCTGCACGGAGGACGTGGCGGTGCAATGTGGGGTTGAGGACTTTGCTCTGGTTTTGGAGCGCTCAGCCAGCCCCACAGGCCCCGAGCTGTCCGACACGGACTCGGTGCAGATGTTCCTGGAGCTGGAAGAGCAGTGCCTGAATGAGGATGGGAGTGATGGAGCTGTCCCCAGCTGCCTGGAGATTCAGATGTCCCCAATGGACTCAGAGGGGCTGGACCCCGATCCGGCCAAACTGGCCGGGTTGGTGGTTGAAGGGGGTCAGCACAGGGCCCCCTTGGATATCAGCGCCTCGGACTCTGCCGTTGTGTCAGATCTGGAGGACTTTGATGTCACCTGCAGCTCACAGGTGCTGAGCACGCTGGAGCCCTTGACAGAGCCCTTCTCAGAAAGGGACACCTTGGCTGTCACGCCGACGGACTCGGACGGAGGCGCCTCCCCCAGCCCCGTGGCCATGGCAGGGCTGGGGTCCCTCCTGGAGGGCTCCCCAGCGCTGGTGGGGGAGGTTGATCCTGACCCACTGGTGGACCTGGAGCTTGTGGCTGGTGGGATGCCGTGTCCTGGCACGGGGGCACATCCAGCTGCTGGACTGGGGGGAGATGGATACCCCGGTGCTCCGGTGGGGTGGGGTGAAGATAGCCAAGATTTGCTTCCTGAGGGGACCTGTCCTGGCCGAGTGTCCCCCTGCCAGCCCCCAGCCCCGGACACAGCGGTGGAGGAGCTGGGGTCCCCCCAGGCTGGCGTTGAGGCCATGGATCCGTTCAGGACCCGTCACCTTCTGCCTGGAAGGACTGAGGTCGCCAGCTGGGATGTCCCAGAACTGGTTTCTGAGGATGAAGCCACAGATTTGGGATCAGGGAGTGGAGCTGAGGGCTGGACTCATCCAGCAGGGAGTGGGGATGTTTGCTGTGCTTCTCTGCTGCCTTTCCACGCTGGCTCTGCATCAGAGCCAGGCTCCGAGGCTCTGACAACATTCCCGGTGCCTGTTGAGGACCCCCCGTGGGAAATGGTTTCCCTGGGCCATGCTCTGTCTCTGGAAGGGGCTGCCCACTTAGAGGGGTGCCCCGTGGAGGTGGTTGTCACACGTGGGGGGACACCAGCAGCCATCCTGCAGCCAGGAGATGTGGACTTGTTGTTTGCCCCCAGCTGGGAGGTCCCACGTGCTGCCAGCCCAGCTGCCCCAGAAGAGCTTCCTGGCACATTGTCCATTGCAGGGCCTGCCATCCCATGGGATTTTGGGGAGCTTTCTGCTCCAACCCACCCACTTTCAGCAGGAGACATGGCTGTCCTGGAGCCCCAGGCTCGGGGGATGCCACCAGCCACCGGGGATCCTACCATGGATGCTGAGGAACCTGCAGGAGCCACCATCACCACCATGCCCTTGATGGTGGAGGAGCTTCTGGAAGCCCCACCACCCTTTGCTGACGTGCCTGTTGCCACTGTGCCACCACCAGCGGCCGAGCCGCTCGCCTCAGGTGCCGGGGACCTCGGTGGTGACCCCGTGCCACTGGCAGTGGCCTTGGGGGATACAGACGACTTTGCCATCGCGGTGGTGCCGCCCATCCTGGAGCACCTGCCCGCCGAAGTGGTGGCTTTGGAGGATGACCCCGTTGCGAGCTTACCTGCAGCGGGGGCGGCAGCTTGGGAGGGTCCCCCTGGTGCCTTCTCGCCCCTCCCAGAAGGTCCCACCACCCCAGAGCTGCTGGGGACACCCTTGGCTACGGCAGCCAGGGCACAAACCCTCCCCAGGGCGGCGTGGAGGGGTGCCCTCCGTCCCCGCAGCTGTGGGGGTGCCCTGTCCCCCCGTCCCGGGGAGGGAGAGGGGACGTCGGGCACGGAGGGACCCCTCGGCGCTGCTCTCGTGGCAGAAGGGCCCCCTGCTCTCCCAGATGGATTCGTTCCAGATAACGAGGTATTTGTTGCTCAGGCTCCCGCAGCCGGGGCTTCAGGCGCAGAATTCGCTTTATTTTGCACTCCGGGGATGGGTGGGAGGTGGGAGCCCACTCAGTAACGCACGATCTGGGCTTCCAAACAGCCTTCTCCCTCCTGAGATCGGCTTGAATTTGGCAGGGAAAAAGTTTTTTGGGTGGTGGGGGGGGTGGAATTGTGTGATTGTGTAAGTAAGGGAGGCAAAAGATTCTCGCTGCTCGATGACCTGAAATGTTGACTTACACTTTTTTGGCTTATTAAAGTATGTTATGGTCACTCAGACGGAGATCACGGACTTTAGAAAAACCTTCTCGCTGGCTCCTGGCAGGGAGTTCCCATCTTTGAAGCAGAAAATATATTCAGGAAAGAGAAACCTGTAAAATGAATTGAGTGCAAGCAATTCCTGTCCCGTGCAGTCATCGGTGTCTGTATTTTTCTGTGAGAGTTGAGGTGCTGAGGCGTGGAAGGCGCTTAGGAAAGGGCTCAGATCCTCTCTGGTCTTTGGGGATTTGTGTTGCTCGTGGCTCTTGCCTGGAGAGACCTCGGTGCTGGAGTTCCCACAGCCGAGTGCTGATTTCCTGCCATCTGGAATAGGAGAAATATCACTAAGGAGACATCAGAAGTTTAGTCAGCACCAAAAATCCCGATTTGGTGGCAATTACTCATCCTTTGGGCTGCACCACCCCTTTGAGATAACCACGTGGAGGGGCTTGGAGAGGTGGTTTCACATGGGGGTCCACGTGAGCACGGGCTGGGACGCCCAGAGGGGACCTGGGTGAGGGAGAAACCATTGGGTTCTTGTCTGTTGCTTGAAATTCAGCAGTGAGAATCCTCATTTTAGGTTCAGCACCTCTGATTGTTAACCCCACAGACCTTCCCCTCGCTCCAAGCACTGCTGGAGACGCTTCCTGGAATTCCACATCCAGCAGCAGAGGGGTTAAGGGAGATGAGGGAAGCAGAAAGCAAGGGGATGCTTTGGGAAGCCTTTCTGGGAGTGAGGAGGAGGAGGTGTGGTGGAGCAGATTTCCTTCTGCTCGCCCAAAATGTCTGTCCAGCTCTTGCCCAGGGCAGGACACCTTGCTCCACAGCAAAGGGGAGTCGTTAAATATTTGTTTCCAGGCTGAGTCACAGTGAGGTTAATGAGCTAAATCACTGGAATCTTTTATGAGCAAAGGAAAACAAGTGTGTTGGACACTCTCACCCTCAGGCTGTTGCTGGGATTATTTTTGTCAGGCTCCTCAGGGAGCATCAGGCTCTCAGGCTGGCTGATACCTGTGTTGCAGGTACCCCTGGTTGGATCACCCAGGCTTTTCCACAGGGCTCCCTCCCTGCCTGGCTCCTTTGGAGTTTGTTTTGCAGTACATGGAGAGCTCGGACCAGCCTGGCATGCCAGGCTTATCAGCCTGATCCTTTTGTGGGTTTGGCTCTTCTACCCAGCAGCTCCATATATAAACAGTAACAGGAGACCAGCCCGGGAATTGGTGATTCCAAGTCCCCATTTATTTCTTATAACCGTGGCAGAATTCTCCATGAGCAAACAGCTCTGGACAGTGTCTGCCAGCTCACCCTTCGCTCATGTCCTGGAGGGACCTCCCTGCCCTCCGGTTGCTGAGCTCTGCTGGGAAAAAGTAGCTTTTTTTTCCTTTGGAAACGAGGCAGGGAAAGTCAAAGCAGTGTCTCTTGCTCAGGCTGGGAGCTGTGCCTGTGTGTTTTGGGGGATTTTGGTGTTTTTAGGAGGTTTTGTTTCGTGCTCCTCCGGAGCAAAGCGATTGCTGGGTGCAGGGAGCCGTGTCCTCCACGAGCTGCTGCTCTGCTGGGGGAGATCTTGCATCCAAGTGGGAATTTTTCAGTGCAGGCAGTGCCCGCGCATTCTTGGGCACAGGGAGCAGGTGGCTGGCTGCCATCCCCTCGCTTCCCAACGGGAAAACATCGGGACAGGGCCAAGGGCTCTGCTCCTGCCCAGCGCCGGCTGCGGGTGACCCGTGCTCTGCATGGGCTCCCGGGCCAGGGGAGCAGAGCCAGCCAGGAATCTCCTCCCTAATTTTGGGGTGTTTGCTGTGGGGGACAGGGCAGGCTTGTCCCTTGGGAGCGGTGAAGGACTGCAGAGGGATGGTGCATGGGCAGCGTGTGGTTCCAGCAGATCCCCAGCTCTGATAAAGAGCATTTATCTCCTCCGGAGAAACAGGATTCTCCCTGCTGCCTCTGCTGACAATGGGCAGCTTCATTCGCTCTCCTCCCCCTTCCCTATCAAATCTTTTTTGGTTTAGAAAGCTTTTCCCCACAGGATTCCCAGGCAGGACCGTGCCAAATCCGTGGTAAACGACTCGCACATTAATTGCCTTTTGCCTTTGTCTTTCGAAATACAGCGAGCTCCTCGCTGCCTGTAATTTCGTGGTTAACAAAACTCATATGATGTCAGGTCTCCGTTCTCAATAGCTCCACTGTGAGAATTGCTTGGGGTTTTTCCCCAGGAGCATTATTTCCCAATCTGATGGCGAGTCAGAGCCAATGCTCTCATTTCTTCCTCAGTTTTCTCTTTTTACCTCACTCCAGTGCTTGGAAAGATGGGATTTATCCATTTAAAACCAGAGGTGGGTGTGGATAGACCCCGAGTTGTGCTCCAAACCAGCAGATTCCTGTGACATCTGTGTCACTAGGTCAAGGCAAGGGAGGAGTTCAGACAAACTTGCACAATTCCAATAAAATCAGTGTAAGTGGCTACCGCATCTTCCCTAGAGAGGAAAGCCTGTAGTATCCATGGAAAGACTGAGCAGCTGGAAGAGCAGCTCATAACTTATAAATCACCTTTTCTCTCCCACCTTTTCCACCCCACAGCAATTCCAGAAGGAGCAAGTGGATCCCCTCCAGCTGAAGCTGCAGCAAGTCAATGGAGTTGGTCAGGGACTCATCCAAAGCGCCGGGAAAAACTGTGATGTCCAAGGGCTGGAGCATGACATGGAAGACATCAACACCCGCTGGAACACCCTCAACAAGAAGGTGGGAGCATGGGGAGGGGCTGTCCCTGCTTTGTCTGGGGTCTGGGGGAAGGAGGGGGTCAGGGCAGGCAGCTGAGGCTGCGCTGCTGGTGCCTGACTCTGCAGTGGGGTTGTTTTTTGGGATTCAGGTGGCCCAGCGGGTGGCTCAGCTGCAGGAGGCCCTGTTGCACTGCGGGAAGTTCCAGGACGCCCTGGAGCCGCTGCTGAGCTGGCTGGCAGACACCGAGGAGCTCATCTCCAACCAGAAACCTCCCTCCGCCGAGTACAAGGTGGTGAAAGCCCAGATCCAAGAGCAGAAGGTGAGTGAGCACCGGGTGGCTCTATGGCAGAGGAGCTCAGGACAGGCATTTTGGGGGTCCAGCTGGGGTGTCCATGCTTCTCTCCTGGTGGATCTCAGTTCCTCACACCCCAGTGTAATGAACAGTTTGCCCACACTCAACCATCCCCATCGCCATCATTGTCCTGCGCCACTTGAAGTTGGTTTTGCTGGTGGGCCGTGTTTTTCCAGCCCCGAGTTTTGCTTTGTGCTGCTAATTCTGCTGTGTCAGGAGCGAGCTGGTGGTGGTGCAGGGCCTGGTTTGGGTGTTTGGACAAAGGGAACGTTGCAAAGTGTGAGAGCGGGCCCAAGGTGTGCCAATGTTTGCTGAGATAACAGCCCGAGGTCGGCGCCTGCCCTTGGAGTGGGAGGAGGGAAGGTCAAGTGTGGTCATGGGGAAATATTTTAGAAATGAATTCTTACCCAGGCTTGGTTTGACGTGTGGAGGTTGGAAGAGGAAATGTGCTTCAAGTGGAAGTTAAGAACTTGATAAGTTGGAGGGGGTTGGTGGGAAAGACTGGGAAAACTCTTCTGGCACAGAAGTGGTTTGGATCTTGAGGAGTGTAAAAGAGGGAAGGGGGAGGGAAGGGGAAAGAAAAGGGGAAGTGAAAAGGGAAAGGAGAATGGAATGGAAAGGAGAATGGAATGGAATGGAATGGAATGGAATGGAATGGAATGGAATGGAATGGAATGGAATGGAATGGAATGGAATAGAATAGAATAGAATAGAATAGAATAGAATAGAATAGAATAGAATAGAATAGAATAGAATAGAATAGAATAGAATAGAATAGAATAGAATA